ACAAAAGAAGACTTTAAAAGGATAGTATGAAAAGAAAATATAGTTTACGCACATTCTCTAAGAAAAGTCCCTATTGGAAACACTAGGTATTTACTGATTCAAAGGTGCCCGTGAATACACACTTTATCCATCTTAATTATCTCTTCTTCAAACTTCATTTCCCTGGACAAAGACAAAAGAAAATAGTCACAACATTGTGGAACACCAACCAATACTCCTTTAGGGTAACTTTAACCTACAGTTCAAGTTATAAATCATCAATTTTAGAACTCAACCTAATCCTAACATTCTATTCAAGTGTGAAAACCACATAATTGTAGTGGATATTACTAACATTCACGTGACATTTTCACAAACAAGTAACATGTGACAATAGTCAATTCGGGTTAAGTCAGAGTCAAACAAAGTCAACAAGTCAAACCGGACGACTCAATTAGCCCTTGTATATTAGGGTTTACATTGTGTATTTTATTGACAACCCGCTATTTTAATGAGAAAACATCAATTGGAAAATTCGTATGTTTGAATTTCCATAACCATGATAATTCTAAACATTGATCCAAAGCGATAAAACACTGTTACACACTCGTCGGGAGTGTGCAGGACACTAAAACATGGCTTAATGGGGTCTACGGACCTTGCATTACGAAGCCGGACACTCAAAAATGTCACAAACAAAACCTACCTCAATCGTATTCACTCTATCTCTATTTATTTCAAATCTCTCCCAAATCTCTCTCAAAAGTTCCCGTAACTTTTCATAGTCTTTCGGGCCATCCTGACCCTTAACCGGGTCAAAAACGGCTTGAAATGGGGTAAAAACGAGAAAAACAACCTTAAGGAGCCGAAACTCCTCTTAGGGCCGAACCCTATTAGCAGCCGAAACCCCTAGGGCCGAACCCTCTTAGCAGTTGAAACCCTAGGACCGAGGCCCCAGCAGCCAAAACCGAGTCCTCTGGAACCGAGAGGCAGCCGAAACCGAGACCTTGAGAGCCCCAAGGACCGAAACCCGCCTGAACCGAACCTCGCACCTTCGGCTCCCTTCGCAACTTCAGTTCCTTCTTTCCCTTCTGTCAGTCCATTTCCTACTTTCGGTCCCCATGTGCAACCAAGCCTCCCTTCGGTTCTAAGCTCCTTAGGAGCCGAACCCTCGTGACTTCGGCCAAAAATTCGGATTTTTGCCCGATTTTCAATATTTTTAGCATTTTAAGCCCGTTTTTTCATCATTTTAAAGCGGGATTTTCACCAAAAACTTTATTTTAACATATTAAGACCCATATGTCTTAATTATTAATGTTTTAATGCAAATCTTATCCAAGATTTAGTGGTTGGGGTAATAAAGGTGGAGTGTTGACTTTCCTTTAGCTTATGACACAAGCAACCAGTCACACCCACTCCTTGACCAACCACACTCCTTCTACCATGCCTAGGTCATGTTAATTTACTTTTTCATCATTTCCAACCTTTTCCCATATTATTAGAGCTGGAACATCACTCCACACTCCTCACTTCACTCATTTCTCTCATTTTACCAAAAATTAAACACAACTTTCCTTTCACTTTCTCTCTCTAAAAATTCAAGATTCAAGACTGATCATCAAGCTTTCTTACACTCTTGGTAAGTATGATTCATCCTCCTTATGATAATTACACTTCATTTTACTCAAATGATTGATTGCTTACACAAACTCCATCATTATTGTGTTAGAATCTTGAATTTTCAAAGTAATCCTTCAAGTGTTCTTGAGTTGATCACTTCTCTTCTCCAACATCCATCCACCAAAATTATTCAATGTGAGTTCATACCCCTACATTTTCATATTTTCTTAAGTTTTAAGGGGGGAATACAAGTTAAATCACCAAGAACACAACTAAATGCTTCTAACAGCTTTCATCAGAAAAGTTGGACTCCATTCACGGACTATTTTGGTAAACTAAAACATTTTAGTTTTCAAAACTGTACAAGGTTCAAGTAGTTCAAGTTCTTAGATTTAAAATGGCTACTTTCACATTTCCATACGATTTTTCTAAAATTTATGGTGATTTTTACAAAACTGCCTATCATTTCAAGAACCATACTGGACCAGTCTGTGTTTTTGGACGTTTTCACCTAAGTTGGAGGTCACTAAAAATCATGGGAAAATTTATGAACAAACTAGACTCATTTTCCAAACTCCAAGGATTTACAGATTCTGATTTGGATCTATTATTAATTTTCTATAAATTTTCTAAGAACAGTAATGGAATCTGTTAATAACAGAAAAATACTAACAATTTCATTTCACCTTGTAACATGTCGAGCAAGGTGTACATATTTATGTGAATATATGTTATTGCAAATAAATGACATTTTTTCTTGGTATATAGACATACATCAGTTAATAAATGGATTTTGATACATATATAAAAGATAACAAATTGTTATAATCAAAGTACGTTCATTTCATATGAACATTTGAATAAACTATGTTAAATATAGTTTACGTACATTACCACTACTACGCTTGTTTTGATAAACTATAATAGATATAGTTTATGATATATTACATAACACACTCATACAAAAAGGGTACATTTATACAAAAAGGGATTTTCATCGCATTACACGTAAATTCGTTAATGATTTTGTGAGACATTCACTTCACAATTATTAATAAGTCTTGTATTGTGACCAGAGTCTCCTGGAGGGAGAGCGTGATAGTTGTATATATATATATATATATATATATATATATATATATATATATATATATATATATATATATATATATATATATATATATATCTATATTGGGTTTGACAAACCCACACCTTAACTGCATGCAACAGTTAGACCGGCAGGTTTGGGGTGACACATGTCATAGCATTTCCGACGCCTAAAGAACGTCGTTTCAGGCCAACTAGGTCATAGCATGGTTATAATAACTCACAGAAAGTATTAACAAACATAAGAATTTACGGGAATTTCATTGAATTCAAACGCGTTTATGTCGATTTAAACTTACATTATTTTCTATAAGTAGGAAAGGTTACTTATACATTTCGGTCTTCAGATATAAGACTACATTACACATTTTAAGGAAAATATCGGATTTTCTAGAACAAACATGACATTTACAAGAGAAAGGCTTTTATCAAGTTTAAAACAAAAGTTTATGAACTTACCAACCTTTGTGTTGACACTTTTCAAACAACTTGTATTATCAGGAAATCACTAAACAGGTATCAAAGTGCATTTTGAGGATGGTACATTAAGGCGTCAACATTTCATATTTTGTCAACATATTGTAATTGATTTGGAAACATGTAATTCATACAATGATGTAACTCTTTCAATTATATATATTGTGGTTGTATTTTCTTGAATTACTATTGCCATTGTGGTTATGATACTATACATGAAGTCATCCACCCCCAGACGTTTCCATCATCCTTGGTTTGGGGGTGTGACATGGCAGACTTAAAAAGTATGACTAATGGACCCATACACATTACTTGATAAGAACCGGTGTAACAATTGATGCCTTGCTAGTAAGAAAGAGGTGATTTTTCCCTGTGTCAAAACAACCCACAAAATTAAAATCTAGAACAATATAATTTTAGTTTGAATTAAGGAGGAGAAAAAGAAAGAGGGAAGGAGAAGTCTTGTGAGTAGTGGAGTCGGTCTAGGTTTCTTCATCAAAAAACCAAAAATATTCATAACCGAGGATATGAGAACAACATTATCGACTGAAGCTTGCACATGTAGAAGAAGCGATGGTGGAGAAGTAGAATAGAGAAGCTTCAAATTCGTTTTAGAAAGAGATAGGGTTTGTTTGGCAGGATCTGACTTTTTAAGATCGAGATTTTTAAGAGATCTAAATTTCTAATAGGGTATGAATTGTTAAGATCTAAAACTTTAACATGCTATTTGGTTGGAACATTTAAATTGTTATGTTAAACGATGAAAATGACCATTTTACCCCTATGTATTATTTTTGCTACATTCAACATTTCTGTTTTATAAAATAACTAAACCAACTTCTTGAATAATTATAAAATAAATACAAATTAAATATAAAACCAAATCAAACAACAAGCCATAAACAATCGAACCATAAAGTACAAACAAGAAACTATACAAACCTAGTCAATAATCAGTAAACAAATGAAATGATAAATAATAAATCATAAACAATTGAAACAATGGTTTTTTTAAATGACAAAGATATGATTATGAAAAATAGCAACCACTATGTGTAAAAAAAATCAATACAACATCCAACTTAATAATGGCTCTCAAAAAAAAATTCGCAACATTACATACGAAATACCATTAGATCTAGATTCAAGAGTGAATAATACGAATCCACTATATTTTATGACCGATTATCCACATAATAGCAACCAACTTTAGCAATGATTCTCTAATAGAAATCAACTATTTCCTACAGAAAAACAAACACCATGATTCATATTCAAGAATAAATATTAATACCAAATGATATGTTTAATCATTGAATACCTGGTTAGATCCATGCTTAATTTGTTGAAAAAAATAGAAAACCATGTTGTGATTCCTATGAATACTGCATAAATTGTAATATCTCTAACCTAATTGAACAACAAACAACAACATATACACAAATATTACTTGTAGATAAAAGATTTATGTTAAGGTGACCTATTGATAACATGAACAATTCTAAGATAAATGGAGATAAAGGAACATGTTAAAGTTTCAAACAAATCAACTTGGTAAGCCCCTAATTATCACATATAATCCCCACAAAATCAGTAACAACAATTTTGGTTTCTAAGCCCTAAACAACTGAAATCATATGCAAAATACCCTAGGTTTTTGTTTTGATTTCTCTATAATCTAATTGCAATCAAAATTACCCAAATCAAATTTAAATATTGCACAATCGACCCTAGCCACACACACACACACGGAGCAAATGAATATATAATAGAAGGTATTGAAGCATCATTCGGAGAGACAGGGGAAGTTAGCAGGGATGGTGGAGTCGGTGTCACTGGCTGGGCCAACAGCGGCGATGTCGTTGGCAGAGTTTGACGGTATGTTGTCCATGGAAAGCGGATTAAGAAAATCAATTTTAGAAACCGATTACATGACAATGTTGTCGAATAGTTTGATGACGCGGGAGGGAGGGAGGGAGGCGCAGACAGCAGCGCTGGAGGAGGTGGAGGTGTTGGTGGAGGTGGCGACCGATGGGTTGCAGGTCGGCGGAGATGGCTTAGGGGAAGCCATATCGTAAAATAGAAAAGAGAGGGGGAAATGTCTATGGTAAAATAGGAACGCACGTTTCATTTTTCTTTTCAGATACAATCTTGGACCTGAAAAATTAAGAGGCATTTTAAGATTAAGAGGAAAAAAATAAGATCCAGCCAAACACTCTAAATCTGAACTTTTAATAGGTTGCCTCTTAATTTTTCAATTAAGAGACTACCAAATAGCCCAATAGATGATAGATAAAAAGCAAAAGGAAACAGTGGTGGAATAAAGAGTTTAATGGAAATTCCTTAGAAATCATCAGAGCCATATTAGAAAAGGCTCATATTAGAAAAGGCATAAGACTAAGGATATCTTAGATCTAAAAAAATAATAGGCATTTTAAGATTAAGAGGCAAAAAAATAAGATCCAACCAAACACTCTAAATCCAAACTTTTAACAGGTTGCCTCTTAATTTTTCAATTAAGAGGCTACCAAACAGCCCCATAGATGATATATAAAAAGCAAAAGGAAACGGTGGCAGAATAAAGAGTGTAATGGAAATTTCTTAGAAATCATCAGAGCCATATTAGAAAAGGATCATATTAGAAAAGGCATAAGACTGAGGAGGAGACACATGTCTTCCCATGCATTGGTGGAGAATAAGGTACATCATAAAGAATACGTGTGTTTAAGGATGGCAACGGATATGGGTATACCAAGTTTCGTGTTCCCCATCCCCATACCCGACCCCATACCCATCGGGGATTAAAATTCTATCCCTATCCCCAATGGGGAACGGGGATCCCCAATGGGTAATTGCGTATTTTTCCACATTACAAAGTTTTGAACTTTTATGAAAAATAACACATGGTTATATATTAACCAACAATACAATAACTAATAGAAATAATATAAAACAATATAATCATCGAGCTTATTCAAACATGAACAATAACATTTAAGTTTACAAATTAAACCGTTTTTTGCAAAAAAAAAAAAAAAAAAAAAAAAAAAATCTTCCAAAAATTACACATTTGATTGTTGAAAAACCTTACTATGGCTACTGACTTACTTTCGCTTATGCATTATGATTTATGGATTGATTAAAAATAAAAACATAAATAATATATATATATATATATATATATATATATATATATATATATATATATATATATATATATATATATATAGGGTACCCATCAGGGTAGGTTTTGGGTACGGGTATGGGTACCGGACAAGTAGAACCATCCACATCCCCATCACCAATTTTTGTATTCGGCTAATACCCATTTCCGGTCAATTCGGGTAAGGGTTTCAGGTACCCATCCGGTACAGGTGTTTTTGCCATCTCTACGCGTATTCTAATAAGTTGGATTAAATTAACTGGGGTGTACAAGTGATAAGAGTGGTTGAATAGTGCCTCACACGCCAAAAAATAAGTCAAGCGTGAAATGCACGAAGCCTCCTTAAAAACAAAAGTTTTTTGTATATCTCCTATCCTAATAAAACAATATAATTATGCCATGTCGCATCTCCATAAGTATTGTGAGAGTTTTTTCCTGCTCTTTTTTGTAAGTGAAATGCCTAAAATGCCCTTATTCTCGAGTACATGAAACCTAATTAGTCAATATCATCGGTTTATTCCACAAATCACGTATGTGTTTCCTCTAATTTCGCTTTCTTGATTTTGGAAACTAGATAATAATTCAAATTTGAAATCCCAAATCTCACAAACAATTCCAAATCAATGATTTTGGAGGAACCCAGGGTTCTAAAACAAAATCATCTCTATATCAATTCCTATCAACTCAGATGAGTCGGCTCACCACAGAGTTCACTTACTTGGGCACTAAGGGTTTGGTGGTCTCGTACTATATAAATGGATGGTCTCTTGGACAAAACCCTAACACTTTGTTACCACTTTCGGCCAAACACAACCCGACAAACAAAAATAGAATACTCGTGTTCCCTTTCACTGTCTTCCATGGAGCCTATCCCACCACCATCACCAGATACTATAAACTCCAACAACTCGATCCTCTCAAGAGATGGGCTATACTTGAACAATTTGCACACGATTTTCTGCGACTGTGGTGATAAAATAGCCGAGCAAAAAGGTGAGGTGGAGCGCATGAAGGAGGAGATGGGTCGCGATTACCTTCATTCCAGGGTTGATGTCCTGAACATGCAACAAAGGTTCGAGAAGGTTGAGAATCAGATTAAACATATTGCATTGTTGGTTGTGGGTCTTGTCGTGGTGATGCTCCTGCTAATGATTTTCATCATTCACTTGATAGTCAGCAAGTGATTCTCAAGGAGGTGAATAGTAGTGGTATGATAATCTAGTGTTCGTCAAAATCATCTATTATGTTTAAGGTTTTTATTGTAATATATGTTATTAGGATTGTGTGTGTTCATTTGTGTTTGTGGTAATCGTGTATAATGTTTGTGTTAGTGGTAATCGTCTATGATGTTTGTTGTAATATATGTTATTAGGATTGTGGTTGTTTACGGATGTTTTTTGAAGTCATGGGAACATGTAACATGCATTTTGATATTATCTTGATGAAATGTAAAGACCTCGAATGCGTTTTGATTTGTTGGGATCAATGTTCTTGATTAAGACTAACGATTTGGACACTTGGTTGGCTTAATTAATGAAAATTAGTTGTTGTTGGTACACCAACTGTGACAGATGTTAATGAGGTCAAACATTGGGGTAATTTCGTCAAGGGGTATTTTCGGAATTTATAATTTTTAAGAACTTACTTCCTTACTCGACTGGGGTATTTTTGTCATTTTCTCTTTATAAGTACTCTACCTCCTTTACTCGGTAGTACATCCCATTTCTTTGTACATGTTCTTGTTTGCATTTTGAAGTTAGCAGCTCTCGGAAATAACGAAGCAAAAATGGTGAAATGCTCATGTGGATGTTTGGCCATAATCAGAATGTCTTCCACTCCATCAAACCCTGGAAGTCCATTCTATGCTTGCCCCACTAAGGTTTGTTTGACTTTCTTTATCAGGTCACTGTAGCCCTTGTTTATTTGTTTTTATCTTTGCATTCTACACTTGTAACTTCTAAATTGATTTTGTTAGGGACCTCGTAATGGTTTTATTTGTTGGGTAGAAGAAGCAGACACTAAGAATATGAGTGTTGAAGCAATTATGATTGTAGGATTGGCTAGGTCAAAAAAGAAGCTTGAATCGAAGATTTGGAAATTGAAGATGTCTTTAGTTCTAAGTTGGATTATTTTCTTTGGCATAATTGTGTACAAGTTGTAATTCGTATGTAGCAGTTTTTTATGTCCTTGTCAGGGAAATTGTTATGGTTATTTAGATTATCCTTGTAATGACTTTCAATCACTAATGTCAATAATAGACACCAACGCCATGTTCACCTAGAGTAAATGGGACCATATATATCCAGCACTAATGTAAATAATGGACCCCAATACCATGCAAGTCCATAAACACAACACACCATCATAAGGACATTGAAACCTTTTGCATACATAACACCATAGTGAGTTCATAACATAGTAATTTATATTAGTTAAAAATTAAACAAAAATAGTACATAACATAAAATTGAAACACTTAATCCAACATTTTTATTTAGCATAACCAAAGTGACTACATAACACCACAGTGAGTACATAACATAAAATTGAAACACTTAATCCAACATTGTTTAGCATGACCAAAGTAAGTACAAAACATCAAATTAAAACACTTAACCTGAAATCAGTTGTCATAAACACATTGACTACATAACGACATTGACCACACTTAACCTATTCTAGTTCCATTAGCTTGTCAATAGTGTGGCCTTCCCCATTTTTACCCTCAACCCGTGTACCATTTTTTTTCTTCAAAATTCTTTTCGACTTCTTTCTTGTCTTGACAATTAACTTTTTACCCCTCCCTCCTATATCATCTTTACCATTCTTTGTCGTCCTACCATTGCTTCTTTCCCCAACATTACCATTACTGCCCTTTTTACCCCTCCCCCTTTATCATCTATAACATCATTTTCCTTCTTACCACTGCTTCCTTCCCCAACTTTTCCATTATTTCCCTTATTACCCCTCCTCCTTTATCATCTATAGCATCATTTGCCTTCTTACCACTGCTTCCTTCCCCAACTTTTCCATTAATGCCCTTATTACCCCTCCCTCCTTCCTCATTTGTCATACATTTTGCCTTCTTAGCACTGCTTCCCTCCCTATCAATAACATATGATCTCTTCCTTTTCCTTACCTTTAGTTTTGTTGGCTTTTCAGATTTAGAACATGTAACCCTGTTATGTCCTGCTTGTTTGCATACACTACACATAATCTTTTTCCCAACCTTTGACACAGTATAGTTAGCACCCCTTTCACTTGAATCCTTTATTCTATTAACTTTAGGTCTACCTGGCATTTTTCTTTTCAATGGTGGAATGAATTCAGTAGGTGGCCACATGTTGCTACCATTCATCCCACACATAGGATACTTGTAGGTGTTCTTATAAATTGCTCCATATTACATTGGATCCACATAATTACCAACACCACTGTTAAGGTATGAGATTGTTGAAACTAAATGCACACATCCATACCTATTTAGTTGCAACACTCGACATGAACAAGTCTTCTTATCTACATCCACAACGTAAGACTCTGCCAAATTCCTTGTTTGAAACTGGTTTAAACCAGTAGGTAAAACCTGCCAATACCTGATGCAATGGTATAAAAGTTAAGGTGTATAGTGGAAAAACTAAATAAAGTATTAATAGAAAAGAAAAAACCTTTGAGCTCCTTTCAACTGATTCAATTGGATTGTAATGGCTGGGCATGGTTTATAATCAGACCATTAACAACCTTGATGGTGAGATTGAATCACCTCTCCATAACATACAACCTAATTTCTTCTAACATTGTGATTATTGGTTTTTTCCTTGCATCTCTAATGACATTGTTGAAGCTTTCAGATAATCCATTTTCAACTGCATCACACATCCTCCCCTCTCTAAAGAAAGCTCTACACCATGATTTTGGGTTCTCTTCCATAAGGTAGTCAAATGCTGCATGATTTAGTACTTGTATTTCCTTCATTGCTGCATTGAATAAAGGTTCAGTTGATGCTTTGCAAGCTTTCCAAAACATCCTCTCATAATG